TGAAAAATCTACAATTCCATTGTGCAATGATGATAATCATGTAGAAATAACAAATACTGGATCAGCTTATAAAAATGGCATTTCTCGGGTAAGATAAAAGTTTCCGGAATGATATAAGAATCAATGATCATCGCATGACATTATTTGATTTTTCTCAGAAATTGTTGATTTTAAAACAAAGAACTTAGAATTATTTGTATAGACTTCTTTTTTGTTATACTCGACAATCGATTATTTCACTTCTTATCAGATCACAGAAGAAAAGTGAAGCGTTTTTTTCTCTTTAGTCGAAAAGTGCTTCACTTGATGTAGTCAATTCAACTACCATATCAAATAAAGCAAATCGAAATACTCATTCAACATATGATATTGAAATGAATAGTCAACAAGCATATTCATTTCAATTGGCAAATACAATTAATCATATTGTTCAACAATTAGATGTATTAACAAAAACTGTATCAATACTTGAAACAAGATTAACAATGACTGAAAGTAAAATACAAGAAATTAATAATGTAGAACAAAAAACAAAATGAAAACGTTCAAATATGTCAGATTTGTTTTTTTTTTTACTAATTATATCTATATCAATATCTCAATTTTTATGATTCTCTTTCGTGTGAACTTTAGTTACTATTGATAGGATGTGTTTCTTTTTTGTAATTTTTTAGTATGGTGAATAATTATCAAACAATAAAAGTTAAATTAATTACTAATCTGTTACAATGTACAATATATTTAATTTGATTATAATCAACCCAAAGTATTAAAATATTATTTCTTGATGTATAATAAGCATGATTAAGTTTAACATAAGTAGCAGCTAATCCTAAGCATTCATTACTACAAGTTCATGTTATACCAACATAATTTTTACCAAGTACATTACACACAACAGTACAAATTATCACTTCATTTACACTACTATAAATGATAAGGAGGGTACATAAAACATTATTTATATTACTGTCTGAAAAGATTATTCCATTGAAGTACTTAATTGAACACCATAATAATCACTATCGAAGATTGAAACGATGTAATCTTGATTACAAGTGATAATGATATCAGTCGTTAGTGTAATTATAGTTAATTGAAAATTTGAAAGAATACTTTTAAGTTTGATCGATAATTTCATGTTGTAGAAAATCTTCATTTTGTTATCTAAAGTTTCTTTTTTTAGCTGAGTACAGTTCTTCATTATTGTCCTAGTGACTGCTGTTGTAGTTATTGACAGTGTTATAATGGTTGTAATCACTATAAGATATAGGAAAAACAAAGAGATTTTTCATAGGTAGAGTCTTTGCAAAGAAAGATACTGTAATTCATTTATTTTGATAAAAATAAACGGATGTTTCAACGTTGTTGGAGTCTTAAAAAGATAACTAATTAAACTAGTCATTTCATTAACACATCAATTGACACACTCACTATTCCAACAATAGCAGTAATGATTGTTAAATCATCTACTCAATAATTGATTTTTAAACAATCAATTATTAACGAAAATAAAATTACTAAAATGTGTAAACACTTCAAATGTGAGATATTTTTTGAATATTACGCATTATTGTATTCGTAGCAAATAGTATGTAATATAAAATAGAACATGAATAATAGTCAAGTTACTTTCGCATTTTTCTTATGTCTTATGTATTATCTGTGGTAGAGTCTTCAATGAGCTGAATCAAATCTTGAATAAAATATAAAACTTTCAAAAGATGTGGCATATTTCCATCAAGGTTTTTTTCGAAAATCCAATATAATTCTTCATTGACTGAAACATTTCTGTCATTAACAGCAAATATATAAAGTATAATAAAGAAAAATATGAAATTGTTGTCATTGTTAAAAAAAAAACTTTCTTTATATTTAATAAAATGTTCTTTCCTAGCTCTTTTCGTTCATCAAATATTGCTTTTTCTAATAATTCTTATTTCATGTCTATTGAATCTTCTCAATAATAAATTTCTTTTAAAACATACAAAAAAAAATATAGATTCGAACGAATCGAATTTACTTTGAAACAACAGCCGTCGATAGATGCTCTTATTAAAAATGAAGTAAACACATTTTGATATTGGAAATTTTTGGATTTTCGAACAAAAAAATCAGAAAATAACTGCTGAATGCGAGAGAATTGAAGGTTTTGCAAGTTCTCGAATAGATTCCCGAACTTTTATTTATATATCAACTACTCGTACTCGAAGTATGGTTCCTTATTTTGTTTGTTAAAAACTTATCCAATTCAATTAGATGACCGACTTATAGATGGCTTTTCTTCAGCTCATTAAAATCTCTGATCAGTTCCTATGTTTACACCATGTGTAATGAACTTTTGTGGAAGATAACTTCGATGTAAAACGTAATCGCTCTGAGTCATGATTATTTCGATTATAAAAACACATATGAAATTTCACAAGTAAAGAGTATTTATATAAACGACATTGTTTTGTTTGGTACAAATAAAGTGTCTTCTTTTTCTTAAAGCAAGTTTGTTTATGAATTTCAAAATAGTGCATTTTATTTTTTAAAATGAAATAAAAACAAATTTAACTAAAAATTATATGTTAAAAATCACATGTAAAAGAAAAACAATTCATCAGATTGCTAAAGTACTTCCTATCGGACGTGCAACGTCATATTATGTACTCTTGAATTTCAATGAATAATATTCATTTATATTTGAATTTCTTTCTTCCGCCCAAACAGACGTGATTTGCAATTTAATTTTTTCCTTTAAAAAAAAATGTCATAATTCATTAACTAATTCGACCGTAAATTCATATAAAAATTTTTTGAACAAGATTTCAATTAGCTTGTTAAAGCTAATAATACGAAATATTTTTTTAACATTGATTCATAGCTATTTTTTTCCTAGCAAAAACAAAAACTAATCAAATAAAATTTACCTTTATTAATCAATGTAATTATTTGAAATACAACATTATTCACATTCATGTATATGGCATGTTTGTTTCATCTGATGATCTATCAATTGTTTTAATGGGTTGCTTTTTTTTTGTTATATATGCATTTATTAATTAATAATTTAACTCAGTTGTCAATTCATTCTCATGAGTCTATCACACATCAGATGAAAGAATGAGATGAATAAATAAACAAAACTGTAAGCAACAGAACAGAAGTTAGAATTTATTTTTATAGTAATGGTTATACGCAAATCTGTAATGTGAGAACTAAAGCCCATTGGGTCCGAGTCCAATATATCCTAAACTTATGTTGTCATACATTTCTAGTTTAAAATTACCCTTCACAGTCATTCCTGGTAGACTAGAATGTTTCATTACTATCATTTCATGTAATGATTCTTTTATAATGCCAAATAGATAATTATAGGATTATAACCATAATTCATTTGTGATATTCTATGTTGACACAGTCGTTAGACTAATATCAAGAAGCAGATGATAGATATTCTTTCAGTAATATTGTAAATGACTGTCGTTAAATATTCGAACAAATTCATAGTATATTGAAAAGTGGTTCATCAACGGTTAAATATGGAATGAAGTTTTTATTAGGCAAATGACTTATTATTTGATTGATAAATAACAATTGTAACATACTCAGTCGAAAGACTTTAATAAGCCGATTCTATTTGTAGTCGATATTAATTCTCTTGACAAGCCATAGTCCTAGTACGATGAACAAATAGTAATTATTTTCGTCATAAAAACTGATTCAATCAAGATTTTATCAATAAAACTAGATGAAAGGACATATATAATTGTTGTGTCAAGTATTGCCTACTGTAACTCTTCAGGCTAGTATTAGAATACAGACAAAACAGTATATAATTGAATGTACTAAAAAAAAAGTTTTGATATGAAAAAAAATATGTAGAACTCTAATTAAATAAAACAAAAAATTTTTTTTTAGGGGGATCTAAATTTAGTTCAAGGTTGTTATGACAAACTGAAGAATTAACAAAGAAAATTTCATTGTGTCTTCATACCGCCGCATACTCATGAAGAAAACTAATTTGTGAAAAAACAAATCTGACACTCGACTCAGTTAATACGATAGACATTTCTTTAAAAGTATTATTGAATATGAAATTTCGGACAAATTTAAGATGATCAAACATGCAAGCAAATCTATGTTAGACATTATTGCTAAGTGACATGTTTCATGTTAAAAAGCTCTCGTTTTTTTTCCTCTTTTCATCCAACATGAATATATATATATATATATATATGCTTTTCTTGAAGACAATAATCTTTCATTAAATATTACGTGCTATAAATTCTAGATTTAATCATTAAAAAAAATCTGACTTGCAAATTTCTACATGAATGAAATGTAGCCAACTAATCAAATTTCATTTTGTCATTCTATATCTTGATTAGTTCATTATTAAAAGAAATGAAAGATAAGATATTATTTGTTTTTCCAAAAGCTTTTTTGTATCTTTCTCATACAAATTGTTTGTTTTATTTCGTCTCTTTGTGTATATGTCTTACTCAAAATCATTTCATCGCAGTCTGTTATCAATGTGCAAAAAAACAAAAGGAAAACAAAAGAAGCCAACGAACAGAAAAAATAGAGCCGTATGTTTTTTTTTAAGACATGAATATATCTCAACACATACGTACAAAGAGACACAGAAGAGAAAAAAAAGAAGGAAGGCGACTGTCTGCCTAGCACGGCCAACAAACAAAGAAAAAAAAATGACAACAACAGCCAAAAAAAAAAGAGCGACGATCATGCACACGCACACACACACATCAAAAATGGCACTCGAGACGAAGTGAGAGAAAAATGGTGGTTGAACAATGAACAAAAAATCCACAAAAATTCTCTCATTCAAGCCAGAAGATCGCGAAAAAGAAGAGAGCGAGAGAAAAAAAGAGGGAAAGGCAAGAAGAAAAAAAGATTCAGCTGTTCTATCAATAAGTCACCTGAAAACAAAAAGAAAACATTCAATATTAACTCAAATCGAAATGAAACACAGTTTTTTTGTTTCTACATACTTATTGATCATGTTGTGGTTGTGATTGCGGTTGACCAGGTGGCATAAAAAATGCAGGATGTTGAGGATTAACAACGCAATATGCTCCTGGATGACCATTTGCTATTTGTAATTGTTGTAATTGTTGTACAGGTAATGGTACTACAAATGCGCCACCATTTTCAGGTGTTGATTGCATATAGGACGGAATAGGATGATTAAAACCTGGTAATGTCTGTCGTAACGGTGCCGCTGTACCATACATTGGATGTGGAGGTGCTGGCTGTGTGTGAACTGGAACTTGTTGTGGTGATATTTGTGTCCATGTTGGATAGAGAACTGCTTGGGGTTGATAAGATCCTGTTTGTTCCATTGGTGAATATAATGGAGGACCAGTTTTCATATCCTAGTTTTTCAAAAATAGAAAACAAAAGTAACTCATCAATTGAAAATCTTATTTTTTTACACATACATCGAAACCTGATTTATATAATTTTTTATTTTTACTAGCATCAGCAAATTTAACTTGTACAGGTTTATCAGTAAAATCTATAAAAATAAAGTAAAAGGAAATAAAAATTTTTAATAGTGTTTTTTGTTTTTGTTTTACAAACTTGGAAAAGTTTTATTATGGAACTGATCAATAATTTCTTGACATTGTTTTTTATCATTCATTCGTGCAAATCCAACACCACGTGATTGTTTTTGTTGATCACGTAAAATTCGTACACTAACGACGTTACCATATTCACTTAATGCTTGTCGTAAATCCTGTTCTGTCATATTTAAATCCAAATTAGCAAAATACAAATTTGTTTCATCTTGTTCTTGTTGTTGAGATGACTAGATAATAATAATTTATTGAATAAAAGAAAATAATCGTTGTTATAAATACTTTAGCTAATTGTGCTGTATAGCCTTTTTTTTGTAATTCAGCTATTGCATTTTGTGCATCTTCATGGGATTCAAAATCAATAAAACCAAAACCTTTACATTTATTTGTTTGTTTATCAATGATCGCTTTCATTGATTTAATTTTACCGCAACTAGAGAAAAAAAAACAAGTAAAATTATATTTATAAAATATTTCATATGGAGTTTTTGTGTTTTTTTTTTACCCTTCGACTAGGGCAGCAAGATCTTTATCAGAATACTCAGGTGGTAAATTTTTTATGTACAAATTCGTATCACTAAGAGTTTGTTGTTGGGTTGGATCAAATGATGATGATAAACCATTTGCATACGTTGTTCTTTGTAGATCATATGTGCCAGCATGACTTTGTTGTGGGGGTGGCTATTAAATAAATAAAACAAAAACAAAAAAAAATTATCTATATTACAACTATTCACAATAGCTTATTCTAATTTATATGGCCTATTATTTATTCTATATACGAACCGCTCCTGTCAACAATTCATAGCACACTTCAGTTGTCGTTGGTAATGGTATAAACTGTGTTGCCGTTGATGCAGCGGCATTCCAGCCCATTAATCCAAGCAAGACAACATCGCCTTCCATGTCAGATATGAGTGAAATAACAATAATGATAATATTGGCAACAACAAGAACAACAAGAACAACAACCACTATATGTTTATAGTTAGATATCTATAGTCTACAGCAAAACTAATAAATCGAATCAAAACAAGGAAGAAAAAAAAAGATTATTATGAACGACTGAAAAATAGAAAAAGAAACATGTCTCTATAGACCATGTATATCAGGCATAAGAACATTATCGGTGCATAGTTTTGACTGATTATAGAGTAGTACGACAGGAGCGAATAGCGTAGCTTTCTTTATTCGTTTGTTCGCCGCCCTGATTCCGTTTTCTTTTTTTATAGACAGAGTTATAGAATATTGAGAGAAAAGAGAGAAAGAGTGCGCAGCAGCCAAATATAATCACAGTAAAAACTCATCAATATAATAAGCCCTTTTGCGCGAATGGCACGACGCGAACGCAAAGAGAGAGAGACACAGAGAGAAAAGAATGAATGAATAATAGCAAAGCGAATACTGTAGAAACGAGGCGAGGCCTAAATATTTGCTTTGCCAATGGGCGACAACTAACAAGAAGAGGAATGTACATATATACAAGATGGATTCTATTACATACACATAAACACGCGCGCGAGAGAGAAAAAGAGATTCTTGACACATCCTTTCTACTACTACATTATCTCTGATAATAGTTAAAGAGAAAGAACGAATAAATTTCTTTTTCTTTTACTCACTCATCAACGATGAAAATCATTCGATCAATCACTCGAACGTTTTTCTACTATTAGATATATATCTTTTACTTAAAAACATAACATAGAACGCGACCGAAGATACTGACCATATCATAACTGTCTCTAGTAAAAGCAACTAGAAAAAAGAGAAAAACAACAAATCAAATGCTGGCTGTCTTTTTTTCTCTCGTGTATGTGCTTGCACACACACACACGCTCTTGATTTCTTACTCGTCTTTTTTTATACACTGAAAAATAAATGCTTATTCTAACGTCAACTCGTTCTTCGCTCCTATTTACATATGAATCGAATCCGCCCTATTGAAAATCGCTGAACGACAAGAGAAGAGAGAAAGCCGGAGGTCGCCTCCGAATTAATCATAATCGTTTACAGTCACAAACGTCATTTTTTTTCTTTTCCTACTTCTTCTCTTTAGTACTACTAACCAAATCATTTATGTTGATACTATTGCTACATTCATTCTCTTCTTTTCCTGTTCATGTCTGTCTGATTGGGAATAAACGCATAGTCAGCCATAAACAAAAGAGTCTAATCAATTCATACTGAACAACTTCAAAGTTTTCTTCGTATTCTTCCCTCTCATCGTTCTTAATTGGCGTCAAATATTTAATATATACAATTTCCTATGGGTATATAAAACCGTAGAGAAAGAGAGGAGAGAGAGCGACAGGCAGACAGACAGAGACAGAAACAGAGAGAACATCGATATTCTTCTAGCATCTAAAATAAAGAAAAAAAATAGAAGAGAAAAATAAGCTGTTGATGACAGTTTGCGTGTGCGACTACGTCATAAACTAGATATCAGGTTAATCGTCTTCGACAAAGTTACTGCTGCCGAATAATAGGATTTATTCACGCATAAACATATTATGGTTGATGAATGAATGCATCAAGTAAACGAACGAACAGCTCATCTTATCAATGGAGTTTAACTGAAATATGATCTCTTCCTCTCTATCTCACAAACATATCAATATAGATACGATGTCTATTTAGATGTGCAACTAAACCTGCTACATCTTTTCTTTTTTTTTTTTATGAGATAAAGATGCACAAATATATACATGCACAGTACGGATTCTTCCTTCTTTTCTTTACTCCCCTAATGAGACATTTACTGGGGTGATTACTTGACTCAATTATGGTCCTCCAAGGTTACAAATGGATTGACCCATTAATAACATAGAAAACAAAAATTCAAGAGACTTATAAATGAATCGAATACAGATGAGTATCAATATAAGAATAAAATAGAAGTTGTGACGAGACCATCAACAAAATAATGATAGAGGCGCCTTTTCTAATCATCTTCTAATCGAACAATAACATTCCAAGATCGGCGACACCCGAACAAAAGATAAAATAAGTGAAATAGACATAAAAATGCAGATAAACGATCGATAGAAATAACCAGAACGACTATACTCAGTCGTTCAATTAGACAATGCTTTTAGAGAAGATATTCTATTTGTTAAATATAAAAATAAATTGTATGAATACTTACGACATAACCACCATAAGCTTTTGGTGAATGAATATTAAAATTAGGTGCAATTTGTCTGGAATTTTCCATTGAATGTGCTGCTAATCGTAAATAGGCTTCACGTTCAGCTGCTAATGACATATTTGTTTTTATTGTTGAATGTTGTTGTTGCACGTGATCACTTGAATGGGGATCAATGGGTAAATGGTGTGAAGGAGGCGTTTGTGATGGCTAAAAGAAAAAAAGATAACAATGTAATCACTTCTGATCATAAAAGAATAACAAAACTCTCTCTATAATGAACACAATTAGTAATGTATATTCATACCGATTCTTCACGTTTAACCATGTCTCTTGTAACAAATATTTTTAGTAAGAAATATCTCTGTATGCACGATACGATCAAATAAAAGCTTTTGAGTATAAAGTTAGAAGACTTTGTCGTTCTTTTTCTCTCTTTTTTTTTGTGTCGCAATAATGCGTCATTATTTCTCTTTCTCTCATATATATTTTTTTTTTGCTTTTTCTGTCATACATACACCCAAAAGGTCACATATGGTAAAAAACATCTTATGAAGTATCAATGATTCATTATTTAACCAATGATAGTTATCTTTTCCAATCCTTTCTCTATTCGAAATCTATCAAATAAGACAATATTTTTTCTTTCATCTAGAACAGTTGGGGAAAAAAAAGAGATAATCAACACCATACAGATGGATAAAGCAACTCGCTTATCTATTATTTGATTAATGACCTATCCGTTCAACTCCTAAGCAACTGGCAGTATATATCTCTACAAACATATTTTGTCCATCACAAAATTGCTGCGTTCAGTTTCATGTGAAAAAAAGAAAAGAAATCATTTGACAGTCATAGTCATTTATTCATTGAAAATATCTTTTTTCATTAAATACTTATCCACAGGGTGTATTATTTCTAATAGTCCAACTGTGAACTAAAGATATCAAAATGAAACATATTCGATAGTATTTAATTATCTTTTCGTTCATGTTCTAACGGACAGTAGGCGGAGTTATACTATCATTGAGTTTCGATAAACAATGTGTACTCAATCATATCAACAGTTTAACGAAAAAGTTTTTCTTCTATTACATCAACAACATTGTATCGATTGAATTGAAAATAAGAACAAAGTAAACAAACGATTGTTCTTTTTTTTCATATATACATGTGAATTAAAATTATTTTAAACCAAAAGAAAACAATTTACCTGGTGAGCAACGATAGTTGACATTTCTTTTCAATCGATTAAAAATATTTCTTGTATACTACTATATATATATGAATATGTGTATGAACGTGCGGAGGTCGTTGTAAGTTTCTCTCGTTTTTAATCTATAATAGACAAAGGCACATCTCTCTCTCTCTCTCCTTGTTCTCAAGCTAAATCAAGCGCACATACAACGTGAATAAACCGATGAAAAGAAGATGCAGAAGAAGGAGAAGAAGAAATAAACCGACCGAAAGAGAACAGAAGGGAGAGAAAGAAAGATGGCGGTCCGTTCGTCGTCACACGATACATACTCATCCCCATCAGCCTAACCAGTCAGTGACGACCATCAACAATGTCGGCGCTATTGCACGCAAGATTAGCAATATACAAGAAAATGAGAATAGTGAATTTGATGAAGAGAGAATGAAAGAAGAGAGATGAACATATAGACCGGTCGACACAATGAACGAACAGTCGTCGACTTCCGTTCGTACAATGTGCTTAAGCAAAAGGAAATGGAGTGTGTAGCGTGCAATTATATAAAAAGTCTTTTATAATAGCTAAAAATGCAATAGATTCTATTCACATTAACATTTGCTATTATAAACTGACAGGTTATTCCGCACTCGATCCATTTTCTTTAAATGACAATATGTTGACAATAAAAACTGTAGCATACGAACGAAACAACTTCTTGTTCATAAAACAGTTCCTACCTTATTGAATAAAATAAAGAAAAGAAAAAAAGAACATTAAAATGTAGTGAGTTTTTGTTGGCAACATATGCGTTTTTTTTTTCTATTACTTAACATCAATTAATTCGATTAGCGAATAAAAAAAATCTATTATTGTATATCCAAAATTATATACGCATGTATTTGATTAATAAGAAATATTCTTATTTTTACTTACATTGTAAAAATGAAAGCACTGGAAAAGAAATCGGAAATAGATCACAAGAACATTTCCAAAGAGGTTAGGAATTGGGTCTTGTTATTGTTATTGTCGTCGATCGCACTGCACGCCGCCACTAACACCAACGCTTTACTAAGAGGGGAGAGTAATAAAAAAAAATCTAAGGCGAAACGAGCAAAATAGAGAATGAAAAGAAAGCGGTACAGGAAAAAAAAAAGAGAATAAGAACAAAGAGTATCTTCTTCCTTCCTTATACGTATGCATATGTCGACAACCTAGACGCAAATACACTGCTTTCTATTATATGTAATAGCAAACATTTTTCAACAGACTAAAAAACAGCCATCGTGTCTCTCCATGTGAAACTATGCTGTTTCATCTGGCATATTTCATTTTTGATGATATTTATAATTCATTCATATCAAAAGCTAATAACGATCAATCATACATCAAGGTTAATATAGTAAGACTGAAAGAAATAAAAGAAAAAAAAACATGGTACAAGTAACGATCGTCAATCGATACAACTAATAGACCAAAGTTATTTCTTTTTTTTCTTTTTTCCCCTCCTCACAGCTGTTGCCATCAACACTCGCATCGCGTTGTTAAACTATATAGATAAAATGTATGTGTATGCGGATGCTTGTGCGCTTGCATACAAGGGAATGTTATTAGTTTTTGTTAGACATGTTACTGTTAAAAGAGGAAAGGTGTACTCAGAATAGTAACATGAAATAAGTGAAAATTTGCATTGCTCCGCTTTTTTTTTAAATACTGAGTTCGTTTTGTAAGAGTGAAAATAGAAGAAAAAAAGAGTAAAAAGGACGTCGTCAACAACTGAGTTTATTGAGTAGGTGTGCATATTGATGAGAAAGCAGAATATAATCAAACAGAAAGAGAAAAAGAAAAATAAAAAAACCGGTGTTTTTTTTTCGTCAGGTGAATTGTGAATACGAGCATGAACATGATTAATTAGCAGGTATTTTTCTTTCCCTTCATTACACTGCTATTACTTTATCATTGTCAATAACTAAACACTTTAAACGACTAAGGTCAAAGTCCACGATGTAAACATCGATAACCATAACAAGTTATTCAGCTTGTTGTGCCTTTATCCTTATTCTAATTGCCAATTTTTTTGATATTTTTCTGAACTCAAGAAGATAATATCTTTGCCATTTGTAGATTGATGAGAAGCTTTTGCCATGAGGCTTCTGTTTTTTGTATGACCTGCCCTGACTACAATTCATATAGTTTTTTGATGATCTGGTCTCATCTGACTTAAGAGTCTCGGGTGAAAAATGAGAGAAACACGCAATGATAATTGAAAATACATGATAAACAATGACGATAAAATATATCTGGTAATAAATCAGATTTTAATAAAAATCGAACCTATGCAAAGCACGTAAATAAGTTACACGTTTATTTTTGTCACATACAGCTGGATAGAATGAAAGATCAATGCTGCCGATTAGACAGTATTATTACTTGTTGACGATAAACAGATAATGAAAGAAAGTTGGACGCTAGTAAAAAAAAGGTTAAGATAAACGATTTCGATGTGTTTTTTTTCTCCTACCAAAATTTAAGAATAATAATAATAATAAATTCTAAATATTATGATATTAAATTTATTTCGAATATTAACTAATTTAGGTTTGAGATATATTTCGATTTTCTCTATGAATTACTGATATTTCAAAAAGTTAATAGGTCAACTGGAAAAAAGAAATATTCTTTTTTTTTTTTCTTTTCTAAAGTCAAATATTTAATTTATAACATACCTTAGTAGTGGTATTAATATGAATGTGATTTCGACCAATAATAATGACAGCCAAAAGTCAATAATCTATGGACAAATTTTTAAAAATGAAATAATATATATACGTTAATACTTATAATTTTCTTTTATTTTGTATTAAAGTTAATATTCACACACGTGTGTTTATTTACATACTCAAAAAGAGAAAGAAAAAGAAAAGATAAGATAATCAACATATTTTGGTATAGACACAAAAAGACGAACAAATGACAAAATTATAATATTACACATAGATTTAAAGACTAGTTAATATATAAGATATTTTCAAAAATAAATTTAAGGCAAAAGAAAAGAATATTAATACTTTAATTTATTTTCTTATATCACATACAAATGACAAACCGGATGGAAATATGGAAAGAACAATAAATTTATCAACCAGTTTTAATATTATTTATTTTTCCATCATATGCTGGTTGAAGTTTAAGAAAGAGATGACGTCTTGATAAAGTAACTCTTGGTGTACCACCGGTTGCACCTATTGTTGTTAATGTTTGTAATGGATCATTACTTCCTGATAATTCTTGTACTGATTTTGCTTGTTTTAAATTGGATTGCACAGAATTTGATTTCGGTATTACTGAAAACTGTTGTAGTTGTTGTTGCTGTTGTTGTTGTTGTTTTTGAGCTAACAAAGCAGCAATAGATGATGCAGATGATGATGATGAAAGATTATAAGTTGATGGTGAACGTGATGATGAATGATGTGAACGATTAAATGATGATGATTTTGATGGAACTATTGGTCGATTAACATGACGTTGTCGTGCTTTTTTTCTTATTTGTTGTAAAAGAAAAAAACAGTCTGTGCATATATCAATTGGTTTTGTACGCCAATTATTTAAATCAGTAACATTACGAACATTTCCTGGAGTTGAATTACGACGAGATTCAGATTCATCATGTGTTAAATCATTGAATACATCATTCATTACTGGTGTTAGAGGAGATCTAAATGATATATTTATTTTATAATAGAAATTTTCAATAGAATTCATTGAAATTTGATATTTGTTCTTAAATAATGCCAATGATTAAAATAGAAACAAGACTTAGTATAGTTTGAATTAAGAAGAAGCACTTGATCTTGATGTGAGACTGATCCGACGAGTGCTACTCTGACAAGATCAGGTGTAATTTGATTCTCATAAGACTATCACCAAAATTATACATGCATCAAATTCGAACTCAACCATACATCGTGAATTTGGTGCATGTTTAGTTAACATCGTCTGAGCAAGATGTTCGATGTGCTAGTCCTTGCATTTAAATAATCCAAAAAAAAATCGGTCTTGCCCTTTCGGAGTGACTATTCGATTCGGATTTGAAAATGCTGGACCTAACAAGTGCCGACTTGCTATATAAACCAATCGAGAATTTAAATACTTGTTTTCTTCGAAATAGTACTGAGTGTTAAACGTTTCTAGATCGATGATATGCCAAATGTAAAAATAAAGAAAGCTATCAGAGTATTCAAAAAGACAACATAGCTTATCTCACTTTTAAAAATTTTTTCATATACTATTCTTAATCGTTTAGTAGAGAAGAACAAATATACATTAGCATTGCTTAAATTAATATTCGACAATTATTGGTACTAACTGGACAATCTATAAAGAGGTTCAAGCAAGATCATTAATTTTCTAAAGTTTGAGCTTTCTAGCCTAAACTAGTATTGAAAAAAAACACGATTTTTCATATTTGATCTTTCTAACAGATAATGTAAATTATAATAAAATCTAATGTGTATAAACATGCTTTCCATTATTTTGTATGTTCAGCTATAATTCATAAGAATTTCTGTTCAACATTTTTGCGCAATTCTCTTTGGTAAGATTCTTTTTTTTTGCGATCTATTTTTTCAATTGTAACGATATATTAAACACATTTTCACGAATATTTTCTTTTAATACACATCACACAAATTAAAAGAATAACTAAAAAAGTAATGACGCTATTTATTAATATTTTTCTTGAACTAATCATTCATACATCGTTGTAAAATTTTAAGAGGATAGCTTTCTCTTTGTCGACCGAAAATTTTTAGATATTTCATTTTTATTTTGCTGCACCATATATGCTTCAAAGTATCTTCTATCTACTAGATTTAGTTTATGAATTAATGTTAAATTATAAAATTCAAAAAAAAAAAGATAGCAGCATTCCCTGTTTCTCCTTGACAAAGAAGTTGACAATCGCCCGCTTAACTATAGTACATCCGATTGAGTTGAAATATTCTTCTATTTATACTAGGAAGTGTTTAGAGTGCTAAAATTTTTTT